TATGTCTGCGGCACGCATGCCTTTCAACCTCAGTGTGACTACTTGGTAGGTTACCGCTCATCAACATAAATAAGCATGTTTTTGTTTCACAACCCTCAGCGACCTTTAACTGTATCTGAAACGTTCAGAACCTCGCTGACTTCTCATTGGACCGTCAACCTGAAGACGGCCGGGGGAAGTGCTCCTTTGACCCGTCACAAAGCTTTACTACCGTCATGGTTGGTGAGTTGGAGCCACTTGTATGTCATTTCACGAAGAGCTCTGATGGTGTAAAGTGCATTACAATCCCCAATAATCTCTTGTTTTCTGGAAGGCAAAATGGACTAGCTGAACACATGTTTTGTTTGTTTTTGTTCCCTGTTTTCATCAGATGGAGAGCTGTACTCAGGGACAGCTTATAACTTCTTAGGCAGCGAACCCATTATGTCCAGATACTCTCCGTCCCAGTCCCTGCTGAGGACAGAGTACTCCACATCATGGCTCAACGGTGAGTTGGGACAATATGTAAGAAGTAAATGAATGTAATAAGAAAATAGTGTGTGGTAAAGATATCCTAAACTCAAATGTACCTGATCATAATCTAATCCCTTTGAGCATATCCCTGACATAAGAGTTTTAATATGTGTACAAATATTTGTTTGCTTTAATGCTGACGTTGACAAAATACGCAGATTTGCTCTGACGCTAACACATCTGTTATCTGTCCTTGCTTTTTCACATTGGCAATGAGAAGAGTATAAACGTTCAGCCTGTGTTGATGGTCACTTTCACCTATTCAAATGATGAGACCTCGTCTGCAGCAGCTCATGTCATATCAGCTGTCGCTAATTAGTGTTCATTCTGTGAGTAACTTGATATCAAGCCAAAATTAAATTATTTAAATTGTTTATAATAATAATACATTAAATTTATAAAGCGCTTTTCCTGGTGCTCAAAGCGCTTACAAGCAAGTAAAACAAAAGTAGAAAGTGCTAAGCTACAGTAGGAGGAATAAGGGCAAGGGGTTAGTTGATTATTATTATGCGGTAAAGATACTCCACTCTAACACTGCAAGTGGACTAACTGATACGCCTTCTCTCATCATCTTCTCACGTCACGTCAGTTTCAGGAGTTGAATTCTCGGTTCTTATCATCTATAATTTGAGCTTATAAACATCATATTTTGAACCTTTTGACTTCCAGTGCTTGGCTCTTTCTTTAAGAGCATCAGGACTAGAAACACAGGCTTTCATTTGAATGTGTCATACATCATTTAATCAACAAATCCGACACTGTACCCAATACAAAGGAATTAGGGACAACCCGTAGTGTCTTCGTTTGGCCGTTTCTAAATGTGTTTTTGAATGTTTCTGTTGTTTTATGTTTAATAGCACCCCGAGGAGCAGGAATCAATCAGATCAATCTCTTCCTATATATTCCCTTTCACCAATACCCTTCTCTCAACTCTCTGTTTTCCTCTCAGAGCCAAGTTTTGTTTTTGCTGATGTGATCAGTGAAGGGAGTAACAGAGTGGATGGCGAGGACGATAAAATCTACTATTTCTTCACCGAGGTGTCAGTGGAGTACGAATTCTTTGGCAAGCTGCTCATCCCCAGGGTGGCCCGCGTCTGTAAGGTCAGTGCACGTCATCATGTACCATCTGCACATACCTCTTATCCCTCTCCTCCTGCTGTCTGTGTGTGCATGCTGTCTTTGTTTACATCCCTCTTTCACACTCACCTGAGCTCATATCATGGTTCAAATCATCAACAGTTAGTAAGTCATATTTATCGAGTCATGCACATACGAGTGCCCAGCCCACAGGATCTAAAAGACCCTAAAATACTCTTGAAGCAGTGACATTTATTTTGAATTTTTATAAAAGATCTTTTGTACTTTCCCAAATGTAAAATCTACCGGCTTCTACAGCTGATGGTAGGAACCCGAAAATACATTTCACAAAGAGATCCTTTTGTATCAACAAACCAGCAGGAACATTTTAAGATGGAAAAACAAATGAATAAAAAAACTATTCTGATCCCTCTGATGTTTTTAGTGAGCAGCTGTTCAGGCATATTTAAGTCTGTTATTACTGATGTTTAGAGGTTTCCATCCCAATTCACCACTGATGGCCAACGCTGTTTCGAATTCCCAGAAATGATCAGAAAGTAATCAACTTTGATTTAATTTGTATGTTCCCGTAAAAGCCAGAAGCATAATTCAAAACAGGACACAGCAGTTGTTATAATGATGTAACTTTAATGAACTGTACACACACTCAAGGATGTCTGTTGCTTTCAAAGAGGGAGAACAAATACACTTTTAATGAAGATATTGTTTAAAAATGTAAAATGACTAAGCAAAAAAGCGCTTTTTTACTGAGTAATAACTGAAGGTGGCTAAGACACAATATTTTGAGACATGTTCCCCCCCATTCCCAGTGGAAATGACGCCCTTCTCTCTCTCTTCTCTCTTCTCGTCCCTTTTCCCTCGTCCTTCTGCCTCTCTCCTCACCGCCTAACGTGCTGATAAACCCTCTCTTCCACAGGGTGACCTCGGGGGGCAGCGCACTTTGCAGAAAAAATGGACGTCCTTCCTGAAAGCCAAGCTGGTGTGCTCCATGCCTGAGCTCAACTTTGTTTTCAACGTAGTGCATGATGTGTTCATCCTGAAGGGCGCCGACTGGAAGGACACCGTCATCTACGGGGTGTTCACCTCCCAGTGGTCAGTGATTTGAAGAAGTTGATATTTGAACACAATGCAGGTCATAAATTCACTTCTTCTCTTTCCTCCCCCTCTTCTCTTCCGACTCAATCATCATCCTCGTGCCTCAGGGGTAACGTGGGCCTGTCAGCAGTGTGTGCTTACAACATGACAGCTGTGGAAGACGTCTTCTCCAAGGGCAAGTACATGCAGAAGGTCACAGTGGAGCAGTCCCACACCAAGTGGGTCCGGTACAACGGCATCACTCCCACCCCACGTCCTGGAGCAGTGAGTACCTTTTTTACAAAGCTTCAATAATAAAGATTGTATTTAGTTTTGTGTAATGCAGTCCTTGGTCAAGAATGCTTTTTGCTTTGATGAAACAGACGTGAAATGGTTTATTCCACTTTGGTGTAAATCTCTCTGCCTTTCTCCTCCAGTGTATTAACAACCTGATGCGACAGCAGAACATCAGCAGCTCTCTCCACCTGCCGGACAAGACCCTTCAGTTTGTGAAGGACCACCCCCTGCTGGAGGACCCCGTCCTGCCCATCGGCAACGGGCCTCGCCTCATCACCAAAGACGTCAACTACACCCAAATCGTTGTGGAAAGGGTCCGCGCGCTCGACGGAAAGATTTACGACGTCATGTTCACTGGAACTGGTAGGAACATACAAGTAAACCATTTGAAATTGTTCAATGTTATCCTGATGTGGTTTATTAACCCCTAATGTCCATTTTTTATTTTATGTACGCATGTGCTGATACAATGCATCAGCGCTATATTTGTTCGATACTGTATTTATTGATTGTATACTAAAGCTCTTCCTCAATCACAACTAGTCCATTCTAGTTTAGATTTGATTTAACGAAACCGAGTAGGTAAAGTCGGTGCCTACTGATCATTGAGTAGCAGTCCTTTGTTTCAAAGCTGCTAATATCTGACTTGTTCTTCAACTAAATGACATTGTTCCATTCTCGTCTCTAGATAAGGGAATCCTGCACAAGTCAGTGGTGTATGAAGGAGAGGTGCATATCGTGGAGGAGATCCAGCTCCTGAAGAACTCCGAGTCCATCAAGAACCTGCTGCTGTCCTCTGAGGTCAGTAACGCCTCTGTAACGCTTACTCACTAAACAAAGAGAATTTGTGGCTCCAGAATTAGAAAATGTGTTTTAAGCATACACCTAGGAGCTCTGTGTTGGTTTAATATCCTCAGAGGCCAGTTATTAGGCCCACTAAGTTAAAACAAATGGAGTCTAATGCAACAGTTTTGCATGAAATCATAACCAATGAAAGTTATAGTATTACATTTTTTTAGATGGTTTGGTTTTAGGAGAATTTGAGGATGTAGCGTATGGTGCAGACAGGCGGTCTCATTGTTGCCCTCACTCAAAGTGTCCGTTTTTTGCATGTTAATCTTCTGTGAGAAAAGTCACGACAGGAAGTTACAAAGTAGATGGCATCACTTTCAAATGCAAAACCATCAGTTCTCTAAACCAGATGAGACTGTGCGCTTCTCGTTGCTGTGGTGTGTTTGTGGTTGTCTGGAGTTTGCATTACACTTTTTGCAGACAGCAGTTCTGCATTTTGGGTGGCATAGGGGTATGACAAACTGTACACCAAAGGTCCCAATCCAGGAGTAAAACCAGTTATGTTTTCTGCTACTAATACTCCAATTATGCTTTTATAAAAAGTTCAAGTGATTTGTAAACTTTTTGTGGTTAAATGTTAAAGGGGCTTTTTTTCTGGACATTCCAAGTGATCGAGTGTGTGTCTTTATGTTGTGCGCTCTTTCTTTGACATATTTACGTGAACAGCCTTGTGCTTCTCCACAGACGCGGTCTCTGTACGCTGGCTCAGACTCTGGTGTGGTTCAGTCCCCCACAGCCTTCTGCGACCGGTACCGGTCCTGCGCGGACTGCGTCCTGGCTCGGGACCCTTACTGTGCCTGGGACCCTCACACTGCTGCCTGTGTCAATATCCTCGATGCCCCCAGCCAACGGCCTAGGTAATCCTTTTCCTACATACCGGTACTCCTCTCATGCATTATTACACAACGCACACTCCATCTAGTTTGACTTGATTTACCGTCACAGTCTAGATAGTTCCTCATTTCAGTGTTGGCATGTTTTAGATGCCATGATTATAATGCTTGTTTGTTTTTTCAGGAGTCTAATCCAGAGCCTGAAAGGTGACGCAGACAAGTGTCCTTCAGGTAGGGTTCAACATTCTCACATCACAAGCTTTATAACACAAACAGTCAGGGTAAAACAATCTGTTAATTATCATAATAGAATAACTTGAATGTGGTGTGCAATTGTTTTGTCACTATCCTATAAGCTAAAGCTAGGTTGTTTGATTGCCTTTAACTTCTCACTGGGCCTTAAAGTAATTATTTTCCCGCTCTTTTTGCCTTGTAGCATCAGGACTATCTGTGAAGGACTACCAGCGTGTGAAGGTGAAACCAGGAAGCTCTGCTGAGCTGCCGTGCCTGGTACGCTCCAACCTGGCCCAGGTCATGTGGAAATCCAACGGCTCGGTGCTCACCGAGGCCTCGCGCTTCCACCTCATAGCCGAAAACGGTCTCCTTATTTACAGCGTGGCCCCAGAGGACCAAGGTCACTACGAGTGCTGGTCTGTGGAATGGGCCCCCGCTGCTGGGAAGAACTTCAGCCGCCTCCTGGCCGGATACGTCCTCTCTCTTATTCCCCCGCCCAGAGCCCCTCAGCAGGCCGGCCATGTGACCCCCCCCCTCAACAGCCAGGAGACATCTAGCACCCAAGCAGCTGAAGGTAACGGTAAGACAGACAGAGCCCTACTAACGTCGGCCATTGCCCCTCCCAGCTTCACAGCCACTACCCAATTCACCTCCCCTCCCCAAACTGACTCATCACTAACCCCGCCGCCCAGCAGCACCATCAGGTTTCAGCCGAAGCTCCCCCCCCTGAGCTCCAACACGCCGCACAGCCTGGACAACCGGGTCACAGCGGCGGAGTATCTGCAGCACAACAACAGCACCGCCCTCCTCTTCCTCTTCCTCCTGTTTTTCCTCCTCTTCCTGGCTGCACTAGCGTACAACTGCTACATGCAGTACCTGCCGGCCCCCTGCCTGAGGCTGCGAGGCGCTCTGCTGGGCAGTCACAAGAGCACCCACCAGCCGGAGTACCGGGCCTGCGAGGCGGGTCTGATGGAAGCTGCTACCAGCGACAAAATGAACATGACGGAGCAGCCGACACAGAACGGCAGCCAAACCACCCAGAACCTCAAGGCGCTGCGCGACACCGGGTACGAGACCGAGCCCGAGTGTGGCAACGGGCGGATCCCCTCCCACACTTGTGGGGGAGACAGCCCGTCCCAGGAGAAGCCCTTCGATGTGGACTGTGAATCTCAGCCCATCGAGTTTGCAGATGCAGATGAACCTTACTGCTAGCAAGAAGCCTCTTTCAGCATAAAGAATATTTGATAGGGATTTCCCGCTCTTTCTGGATCTTCCCACAAATCACACATGGTTTCCTCTATAAAGGTTTTTTCAGTGTTTAGCACCACGTGAAGTTTAATCGTCACAAAGCTTAAGTGTACTTACCTGTAGAGGTTGATGTCTGATTTAGGGTGATGATGATGATGATGATGATGATGATGAAGGTAAAAACTGTTCTCACAGAAGCTGCACCCGCTCTGCTTAGGTCCAGCGAGAAAAGCTATTTTGTTAAATTCCAAATTGGAAACATTGTTTACCAAATTGGTAAGTTACCTTGATGTTTTCCAAATTGGAGTTGTGTTTTTTTGTACAGCCTGGGTGAAAACCGTTCTCAAAGCCACACGTAGGCGATTGGACTGGAAAGGCTTCAACATTACATTGTTTCTCAGGGAAGATTTCCTCGGTACGTTACAGTCTTGCTTTGTTGTACACTGTTGCCATCTGCAGCGCCCGGTATGTGGGCCTCTCACCCAGTGAGGTGGCTATGTCTGTCTGAAGGTCAGAGAAATAGAAAAAAACGACAACTGGCATGATATAGAAATGCTGGAATAAATCAAACTACTGTCAAACCATCTTTAAGTGACAATGTTGAGTTTCTCTGAATGAAATGTGTCCTACCTGTGAAGTCGACATTCCTCCATGGATAAACCTCCTGATGATCCTGTGTATTAACCGCTACTCGTCATTTCCCCTCATGCGGTGTGTTATTAACATAAATATATCCAGTATTATGGGATGTTGGACAATATCAATCATCAGGGTCTTTTTTCAAACAGCCTGGAAACAATCTTTTCTTTAAAGTTATTTTGTGTTACTATTTTGAATCAAGCCTTCATTTTCTGAACATGATTATTTAAGATGAGTCTCTTCTGTGGTAATAACATGTCTCGTTTGTAATTAGTTAAGATCTTGCTCTTTTTGTTTAATTTATTCCAGCAGATTTGTTTCATTATTTTTTTTAGAGCCTAGCACCTCAGTTTCCCTCGTGTCGGATTTGCATGTCACCCCTTTATTAGATTTCCCATTTTCCTCAATACTCTCTTTTCCCATCACTCCCTCCCTCACAGCCTCCTCTCCTGTCGACACTTCATCTTCCCTGTCCTCCTCTTCTTCCTCCTCTTCTTCCACCTCTTCCTCCACCAAGCCCCACAGTGTGGAGGCCCGGGAGGCAGAGGTGAGACTGTTGCCCCCCCTGCTGAAGGACCAAGCCTGGGGGGTGCACGCCCAGGAGGCCTTCCTGCTCTTCTGCCTGGCCCTGGGTGAGTGGTGTCGGTGACGATGGCTCGAATGCAACTCCGGAACTACAAATCTTTTCCTAGCACTGTTTTAACCCTCCCCCTTTTTCACTCATCCTCTCTGACTTTTTGCACGTTGCATGTTTCCATCTCCCAAACATAAGCTAACTGGAAGTGTGTGTTTCTGGATTTGTTTCAAACAAGCCTGTCCTTCGCTTCATGGCATCTGCCTTTTGGAGAACTGTTAGTCTCAATTTCAGGTGTCTGGTAAGATACCTTTTTTAATAAGTGAATGTTTGAAAAGACAAGATCTGATGTTCAGCTGTCTACGTGATCTGGTTGTCTAAATTCTCACTTCTAATGATAAATGAACATGGTACATTTTTGTGTAAAGTATGTAACGGCAGTCTGGCGCGAATGTTACATTTAGAAATGGATCCTTTTTGTCCAGGGTGTCAATTGTAGGATTACATCTCAATACCTAATCTGGATTTTTTTTGTTTGTGCCTGTAAACAAGTGTAAATATATTTGTATATATGGAACAAATACCATTTGAAGATGTACATAAATCTAGGGGACTTTTTGGGAGCATTGCTCTTGGTAGGGAGGCTAAATAAATATTGTCAAATGTTTTCAACAATGGATTTTGACTTTTTCTTTAAGCAAGGTGGATTCATTAGTGATGATACAGTTGTAAATGTTATGCAAACTACGTGTATTCATACTCTGCATGATCAAGATGCAGTAAATAACAGCGCTTTGGTGAGAGATTGCATACATTTACACTGCATGTACATTCAGTTTTCAAACGTTTGAAACTAGAACGTCATAAAAAGATCTACCAAAGGCAAGTATTCCTAATACAGCACGTCCGTGTGGAATGTCAGTGTGTCGACCATCTGGCGGGTCAACATGAAGTCCTATTCTCTCCCTCAGGTCCCAGTGATCTCCAAATTCACTGGCTAATTAATGGGCACATTTTGGACACCCCCATAATGGAGCACCGCCTGCCGCTGGGACAGAAGGAGGTTCTGGTGAGCAGCTGGCTCCGAGAGGGGGCTCTGGTCAAGGACGCCCGCTACCACTGTGTCGCTGAGGCCAGCACGGGCAGCGACACGTCTGAGGTGGACCTCCGCCTCACTATTGGAGGTATATCCAGAAAATGATTTGGTGTTCCATTTAAAGATAACATTTTTTTTTTAAAAAAAGACTCTTTCCTGTCTTTACGAATCAAGAACAGGTGGTATACAGGGTTTTTCATTTGAAGCTAACTACATACTGTAGGTAACTGGTAGGGACGATAAAGTTTTGACTGGGGAATTTTTTGTATTGTTTGTTGTCATACTGATTTTAGTCACATGAGGCTAAACTGGTCCCATGCCACATGTTCTTTATTGGTTCTCAAAGGTCCATGCTGTATTTTGTGTGTAAATTGTTGTGAGTAATTAAAACTCACCTGGTAGAAAACACAGAAGAGAAAACTATTTAAATCCGATTTAGAGAAGGATCCCCAGACTATATTTTCTCACTGCCTCTCGGATATTCTGGATCGACAGTAGGCTACCTTGATAATGTGTTTTTAAGAATTAAAAGCTATTCTGTCCCTAAATGTGAAATATATCACAAGTAATGCATGTTAAGAGGTATTTGGGATTGGGTTGTCATCAATGCCATTATTTCAATAATAGATGTTATTTGACAGATGAGGAGAGCGTCCCGTCCAGGGATTTGAACCAATGGAGAGGTGCACTCACAGAGCATGAGCAACTGCTAAAACGATGGGCAGAGGCCTGGGTAGGTCAAAGTGTGTGCATGTGAGTGTGTTTTCTGCAAACCTATTAATAGTTATGGTGCAGTTGCCCTGGTCGACTTGCATCACGGGTTAGCATTTTTAACCTGCTCTGCATGTTCAGTTTGGGGCAAATGGTTAGAACCTTCCGTTTGAGCTCTTTTTTCTATGTCCAGATTTATTGGGGACAATAATTAGAAGCACCAATCAAAAAACTGATTAATATTCCAACCGTGTTATTCTACTTCCTGTGAAATGTGTGTTTTTTTAGAGTTAAAAAAGTGATGTACACTTTTTAAATAAATAACTTTGTTCCTGCAGAAAAGCTACTTTTAGCTTTCACATTTAACGACATTACATTTAATCACATTTTCTGTTCCACATGATCTTTTAACCACATTCAGCTAATTGTCTTCTAGTTAACCAAACACTTTTATGTTCCTCCTTGAAGGGATCTTCAAACACACACACAAGTCTTGTGACGTGTTTTAACAGCTGCATTTATTTTGGGGAAAAGTAATTGGATCCCACGATGTTACTCTATCCATCATTTAGGTAAAGTTTCATAATCTGTTCCTCCAGCAGTAAAACCTCCCATTAACATACCAATTTGTTTTATTCAGATACAGACACTTTGACTAGTTTGTATGTAGATGTAGTAGGCTACTACCATGCATCTTGTTGACCAGAAAATAAAAAAGTGATTCAGATGTCTACACCAAGATAGTTTAACCTCTGTTCAAAACATTTTGTCCATTTTTAGCCTTTCATCTACTTGTGCAGTACAAATGTGTTTGTCTCCACAGGAAAGCTGTGATGGCCACTGAGCTCTGTGAAGACATCATGAGCTTCACTTCAACGTGTTTGCTGAATCTTATTGTGAACGAGGTCCTCAGCAGGTGGACAGCACCTTTTGACACTGAAATATCATTGACTGGTGGAATTCGATGTCCCAGTGTCACCTCTTATGTCGGAGTTTGATGGATTGGGAAGCAAAGAGTTCACGCATGCTTCCTGTAGGAGGATCATCTGGCTGTGATGATGATGATGGTGATGATGATGGTATTAGGACTCCTTCTAAAACGGATGAGGAGATGAAGGCCATCGATCTGAGGACTTGTGGGCAGCCTTTCTTCCAAATATGCATTTATTTATTTTTTACTGACACAAGCACATCCTGAAAGCAGTGCTTGTGGAACAATAAAGCTGATGGTATAGGAGGAGCACTGATCAGTATTTCGAAGTAATGCAGCGTCTATTTTATGGTTTGGTTTATTTAGGTGTTTGCACTTTCTCCGCCTTGAAAACATCAGTAAGGAACCTTAAAGCTACCTTGCAGTGTGACATTTTACTTGAAATTATAATGTGTAGTCTTTTTACTTCCAGAGAGTCAAATCCCTATCTTATTTAAAGGGGTTTGATTCCAGTAATGGAGTAGGTTACTGTGGGAAGTAGGGTTCTTTTCAACCACAGTATACTCAGATGTTTGACATTAAGCACGATTATATCGACAAAAGCGGCATTCAGAAAAAAAAACATAATTCTAAATGCCTTCCTTGGCATGTTATTCTGTACCTTGCTGCTTTCTGTCTGCACTTAGTTCTTCTTCACGTCAAAAACTGTGACTACCTATTTACCTTTGGAGCAGAAATAGCTTATTAATAAAACTATTTATTAGAAGTTTTGTTTTGTTTTATTTGTTTATTGACTTTGACATGTTGACACTGTGACATTAAATGAAGTATGCTTACTTTTTTTTTTATAAGATAAAAGATGAAATATTAACAGACCTGATCCATCTATTTATAAACAGGTCATTTCTCCTGCAAGATTATAAATTGAGTGGCACACTGACACGTCAGCCTTTTCTACCTGAACTCTTACCATCTGAATTATTAACCAACCTCCACTGCACATTTCTCCTTGAAAGGCAGTTATGACATTCTCAAAATGCTAATGCCTCCAATAATTATAGAAGCATGGGCATTCATTATTATACATTTAAAGTAACTAGAAAAAAATACAAAATAAGTTTTACCCTAAATAATTATGTTCAGTATAACATATTTGATATATATAAAAAATGTTGTTTAAAGGCCAGGTTTCTGCAGCTACTGAAATGCTTGCCAAATAGGCTTTATGTTTTTATGGCGCCATCTACCATAACTGGAGCCATAGCGCCCTCTGGTGACAAAGTAGAGGAGCACAAGCAGAGAGTAAAAAAACATAAAGGTGGTTCTTTGTTTATAAAATAGGTCGTGACTCAAGTCAAGTGTCACCGCAGCAAAGTCATTTCAACAATTTGGTGTAAAGTCATTTCAACAATTTGGTGTAAAAAAACAAACAATTTGAACAAGTAGGTATTATCAGACCTAGTAGTTAAACTGCTCTAGCAGTAGCCACATAACAACAAAGCAAGAAAAGCAAAAATAAATACTACAGTATGTACACTGAACAAAAATATAAATGCAACACTTTTGTTTTTGCTCCCATTTTTCACGAGATGAACTCAAAGATCTAAAACATTTTCTACATACACAAAATAACCATTTCTCTCAAATATTGTTCACAAATCTGAAAAAATCTGTGATAGTGAGCACTTCTCCTTTGCCGAGATAATCCATCCCACCTCACAGGTGTGGCATATCAAGATGCTGATTAGACAGCATGATTATTGCACAGGTGTGCCTTAGGCTGGCCACAATAAAAGGCCACTCTGAAACGTGCAGTTTTGCTTTATTGGGGGGGTCTGGGGGGGGTCCGAAAACCCTAGGGTTAAACCCTAACCCAAAAACAAAAGTGTTGCATTTATATTTTTGTTCAATGTAATATTAGGTTCAAGTCTGCATTCTGCTTTGATTAATTGAAGCAGCCCTAACCAAATTAATAACAGTTTGAGGGAATATTCTTGTACTCATTCTATACATTTAACATTACAGATTAGAAGGGATTAGATTCATGAATCGTGTATTTTGTAAATGTTTCAGTTTCTGTATTCATGGAGTTAGCAAAATGTAGTCAGTTGTTATGCAGCTCTGCAGGATATGCTTTAACTGAAATATGGGTGGTTAAATCAAACCCTGAAGTGTACTGACTAAAACCCCAATAAATGCATAAGAAAATAAAACACTACTGGCGTAAATCTATTTACTCGTCTGTCCAAGATTTCTAGTTCGATGTTTTCTTCGACTGATATTATGCTGTGTTTATCCCTAATGAGCTCATTACTGCCCCATGAGGGCGGGGGGGGGAATTAAACTGAGCCCTCCACCAAACAAACTTCAACAAGCGACACAAAGGTGAGATTTAAGCTTTATCAGAAGGTTTTGAGAAACGTATTTTTCAGTTTTTACCAAAGAGAATTTCAAAAATGAAGATAAACTGCTTGTTTTAGCAAATGTCCTTCTGGTAACTAAATCATTTAAATGTCTGAGAGTCAGCTAGCTTACATGTGTGCAGCATGTACATTTACGAAATTAGTTCTCACCTGTAGCCTCACCTGTGGCACTCACAGAAGATTATCTTTCATCACGATAATATTAGGAGATAGGTCTAAGTCTACAACACATGTTCTACATTTTAAGTTCCGCTTATTGTTTTAAATTGCATACCACTTTTGGTTTGGATTTTGTCTGGATCTGGGGTCATTGGGTCCCAATTCATTGAAGGGATTGAAAAAAATGAATACTTTTTAAATTTAAAAAACGTGCATACCTACAGCTCTTGAGTAAAGTCTGCTGCATTATAAGATTATCTGTTTTTTTACTTTGTATAGGTATTGTTTGATTACATTTAACATTTCTTTATTTTATTCTATAAACTACTGACAAAAACTCTCTGTGTTGGAT